CCCACTATCTTAATCTTGCCAGCTCAACTCTGAAGGTAAAGTTTGTCACAAGGACTTTGGACATCCATTAGTCATCAGCAGATGTGTGGTGCAGAGATAGCTAATTTTTTCTCAAACAATATTCAGAATAAAACTTATTCCAATGATCCAAAAGAGGAGGTATCTGTTGGATATAAAAAACAACCTCTACCAATTCTGCAGTTTTGGAAGTTTGAAAGTATATCTTGACTGTATTTTGGAATTACTGCTTTCCTTGATAAATAAGAGAATAAGAGTGTTGCCATAAGGGGGTGAGAGAAGAAGAACACACTTATTTAGGGTGCCTGGGAGTAGGGTGAAAATTTACTGAACAATGTTTAGACTGTTGCACTTTATATGGGGCAGCATTTGGAAGCAGCTCAGAAATCTCAGAGGATCCAAAATACTCCAGTTAGAATGCTGACTGTGGCCAGTTACAAGGGTCACATCTCTCCCTGGTTGAAACAGCTGCACAGATTTGGCTCTGGGTACAGTGTAGTGGTTTGAGTATTGGACTGTGGAATCACCACTCGGTCATGAAACCCACTGGGTGACTCTTGGCAAGCCATACACCTTCGGTCTCAGAGGATGGCAATGGCAACCCCTCTCTGAAGAAACATGCCAAGAAAACCCTTAGGGTCACCATAAGTTGGAAACAACTTGAAGGCACACAACAATAACAATTCGAAGAGCTACTTATGACCCATAAAGCCATATATAGCTACAGTCCATGCCACCGGAAAGATCTTTTCTTCTTATATAAACATATAAAAATCTTAAGATCCCCAAAGGAGGGTTTTCTCTCAGTCCCACCACTTCACAGGCCTGTCTGGTGAAGACACAGGAATGAACCTTCTTGTTGGCTGTGGAATTCCACTCCATGGGAGGCCAGACTGGCCCCCTCTCGTCTGTTTTTTTTTTTTTTTGCTGGCAAGCAAAGACTGTTTGTTCAAATTGTCATTTACTGATTAATTAGTCATAGGGAGCCTTTTTGTGGAGTGTGTGCTGTATTTTGAACTTTATTGTTATGTTTTTTAAAAAAATGATTTGACACTTTGACACAATTTAATGATGTTTTAATATGATTACTAGTTTAATTGTGATTTTTAATTTTTTTAGGTCCCACGTGGAGAGAAGGGTGGGATGGCTCTATCTATCTATCTATCTATCTATCTATCTATCTATCTATCTATCTATCTATCTATCTATCTGTCTATCTAGATAGCTATCCGGGGTGATTTTGATGAGAAATTATTTTGCCTTCTATTCAATTTAAGTTCTAGAACAGGGGTAGGCAACTTTCCCCCTTTAAGGGCCGAGGGACTTCAGCTCCCAGAAGCCTCAGCCATGTTGACCAATAGTCCCATGTTGGCCAATAGCTCCTGGGATTCTGGGAGCTGAAGTCCCTCGGCCCTTAAAGGGGAAAGGTTGCCTACCCCTGTTCTAGAATATAGTATTACATTTCATCTACTTGTACCAAGTATATTGTTATTTCAGTCATTACAGTCACATCAACCATGAAGAAAGAAAATGGCAGGAATCCTGTTGGGCAGTTACAAATGTGTAATCTAAAGTTATGCACTCATGACAGTTTTGTACTCAAGATCCCTATATAGTCTCTAGTTTAGGGGCAACATAGGGACCATTAATGTCCCCCACTTGCAAGAATGAATGGTTTCAGCAATTTTCTTCCTGCTCCATGAGAAAGTGAGTTTCTGTGCAGATTTTGAGCAACATTCATACTTCATGATTTCACTGGGGAAAATTCATTTGTGCAAATACATGGATCCCAGTGCAGAAGAACCATGTGTAGTTTTCCTCATTAGATTTTCTGTGCAAAAAACAATATTTATATGCAGGAGTTAATGTATTTTGCACAAAATAAATGCTTTCTGGACTAAAATCCTTTTTTTTTTTTGGCACATAAAAACCATGTGTATTCCCTCCCCCCTCAAAATTAATTTCCTACCATGAATTAGCAGTCTTGTGCAAGTTTGATTGACTGTGCAAACAATCTTGTGAATGATCTCCTTTTCCTTGTCAGAGTGTCTCAAGTGTTGACACACACTTTTTTCATTGGGGATGCAAATATTAACAGGCATTGTCACTTCCTTATTGTATAGTTGCTCCAAATCCTCTTTTTTGATGATGCATCAATGGCCAATCTAGGAACATTACTGGGTTGTTTTGTGAGTTATGACAAATTGACACACGTGAAGCCCTCTGAATGCTCCATAGTGTGACACACACACACACACACACACACACACACACACACAGAGAACTATTATTAGCCACCTTGGGTGCCTTTTTGCTTGGAAAAGCCCAGTAAATATTAATGTGGGAAAATCCATGTGGGCAAACAGGTTCTCAATTTATACATTTCCCCTAGGGCTTAAGCTCAAATTTCTCCTCGAAGTTCATTTTTAGCCAGTGTGTGTGTTGCTCCTGACTTTTCAATCCATACTGAAATTCTACAAACTATGATATATGGCCCAAAGAACTAGTTGTAACTGCCTTCTATGTTTATTGACACTTCAAATACTTGACAGTGATAGCTCAGCAGAAACAGGCTGTATGTATTTATGACTTTATGACAGACAAATATTTTTTCTGCTAACTCAGACATTTCAGACAGCATAGTACTTAGCTGGTTATTAAATGAGCCCAAAGTCCTGCAAATACAAACAAACCAGCCTTCTTTTTCTTTTCCTTTTCCTCACACTGTCAGCATAGAATCATAGAATCATAGAATCATAGAGTTGGAAGAGACCACAAGGGCCATCCAGTCCAACCCCCTGCCATGCAGGAACTCCCAATCAAAGCATCCCTGACAGATGGCCATCCAGCCTCTGCTTAAAGACCTCCAAGGAAGGAGACTCCACTACTCTCCGAGGGAGTGTGTTCCACTGTCGAACCGCCCTTACTGTCAGGAAGTTCCTCCTAATGTTGAGGTGGAATCTCTTTTCTTGCAGCTTGCATCCATTGTTTCGGGTCCTAGTCTCTGGAGCATAAACACTAATGATCAGTGATGTTATGGAGGGTGTTTGGGTATGGCCTGCACATTTGGCCAAACATTACCAAGTAGTGGCTAGAGAGGCCATGCCTGCACATTTATTGATTACCACTGAAAGGTGCTGAGAAACTGTGGATGCAGTCTTTGTGTAATTGTTACTCCTGTCTGCAATTAGAGGGTTGAGGTAGAGCTATGTGCTGCAGAAAACAAGAGCCTGCCATTGATAATGCCAGCCTCATATGGTTTCTTTGTCTTTCTCCTCTGCAATATAGGTTGAGTATCCCTTATCGAAAATGCTTGGGATTAGAAATATTTCATAGTTGGGATTTATTGGATTTTAGAATATAAATAGCATAGTGTGTACTTGTACTGTATTTCCAAGGCTGGAGAGAGATGCAGCTGGAGACAGACATGAGGATCTGTGAAATGGTGGGAATCCAAGTGTTGTGCTTGGGTGCAAATCTATGTCTCACGCCATTTCATAGTTTCTCATGTCTCTCTGCAGCCACCTTTCTTCCAGCCTCATGTCTCTTGTGTCTCTCTCCAGTCTCATAAATACAGTACAGGTACATACTGCACTACTTGTACAGTATATTACAACACCCAAAAATATTAAAAAATCAAAGTCTCTATGTGTCATGTCAGCATTCAAAAAGCTTTGGTTGTCAGAGCATTTCAGATTTTCGATTTCTGGATAAGGGATACTCAACCTGTATCTAATTGAGCTGGGTTGGCCCAAGACAGTTGTTAGCTGCCTATAGTGAAGAACAAGATGGTGCTCATCCTCCAATTAAGTATAAAGAAGCCAATTGGATGAACAGATGAATCTTAGATCAACACAACACTGCCCTTCACCACTCCTGAGGCTAACTTAGAGGCTGATTTTTGAAGGATGATTTTGAACAGTCCTTCAAAATTTGGCTGACAGGAATGGCTGGGGAATGGATCGGGGACTCCCAGTGGCATCGGTGGCATTCTCCCATGCAGTAAAATGCATTTTTGCTCCATTCTGTTCCCTTGCGTTCCATTCCGTTCCCGTTCTTCGAAGTGCTGTGCGATAAGCTTATTGGTCTTGAAGGGTCTGGCCACATGTGTAAAGCTTTGGAACATTTAAACAACAGAAGTGACAATGGCCTCCAAGCAATAAATACATCATGTCCCTGTGCAGAAGCTTCTCTGCTGTAGGGAAGGTGTTTGGTCTGATCTAGCATGGCCATTCCTATCCTCTACATTGTGCTTACTGAAATAACAAGATCTCTAGACATTTAATGCTCAAAGGGATGTCTCTTTATGCAAGTTCTGGCAGCCCTTTTCAGCACTTACATGCCTGAAACCTCTACCTGTTCTTTCTGTCAAGATCCCAAGATGTTCTGAGTTCACTCTTTTAGAAGCTAGACCTCTTCACTGACTTTTTGGAATTTTCATTGGATCTGTATGTAACCCTATATTTTTAATGGGTCTAAACTGAATAATATTTCCTTTGTTTCTCTTTGTGGGGGCAGGGAAATTGGTTTGGATCTTAAGTTGCTTATCTGTTCATAGAACTGGGGTAAGAATGATTTCCACCAGCTTCCCTCTTCATCAACAGCTCCTGCCCCCATATTTCAGATTTTCTGGGGGATGCAGAAGGAAGCAAGAGATGGAAAAACCCCATTTTGTGAGCATGACTTCTCATCACAAATGGGAAGTCAGAAGCACCCAACAAGCCACTGTATTTTATTGCATAAAATCAACTCTTTTCACTTCCTTCTCAGACTCTCAGTTTTGATGGCTTGGTTGTGTATTTAAAAAACCAGAGTAACTTTTGTTGTTGTTACTTTCAAGTTATTTCCAACTTATGGAGACCCTAAGGTGAACCCTATCACAGGGTTTTCTTGGCAATATTTTTTCAGAGGGGTTTGCTGTTCCCTTCCTCTGAGGCTGAAAGACAAGCATGGCTTGCCTAAGGTCAACCAGTGGGTTTCCATGTCGGTGGAGGGATTCAAACCCTGGTCTCCAGAGTTGCAGTCCAGTGCTCAAACCACTAAACCATGCTGGCTCTTTATATAGTCAGTAATGAACATGCATTCACTTTGGCTTCCACTTGAACTGATGGAAAAGGGATAGTTGTTTCAAGGCTTCAATTATACTTTTGTTAACAAGTAGCCACATAATTATAAGATGAACGGAGGGGTGGAGTGGGAATCCAGGCCTTGATAGTATTTGGTTTTGGAAGGGTTACTGGAGAATACTGAGTTATCATTTGTTTTGAATAGCTGTCCTGGACAGACTAAGAAGACATTTCATAGTATAAGAAGCATCCTGACTAGAATCGTTGAGAACCTTGTGATTGTTCTCCAATTATTAAAGAAGAAGTACCTTGCACTTCTGACAACCAGCTCGTAGTGTTGCTTCATATTCCTCCATTACTTACTTGGCAACATTTCAAGGGGGGGATGTTTGAAAATTGCACAAGATCTTAACTCTCTTTAAGCTGAATGCTGGTTTTGAAAGTCCTTGATAGTAATCAGTGCAGATACTACCGGTAGATGTTAACCCATGGGACTTAGAGGCTTATGAATGTCGATTCTTGTTCAGAAGTCATTGTGGACATCAGTCTCTCTTTCAGTCTAAACCTGTACAACTGGTTTTGCAATGATGGCAGAAGAACTAAAGGGAACTAAAGGAACTAAAACAGCATTTTATATTGTCAAAGGGAGCATTCAGTTCTGTTTCACTTGCCAGAATCTAGCATGATAGAGCATATTTTTAGAGTTCCAAACATTTCACATAATTTATCTCAGGGCCAAACTACACATTACATCAAAGGATTTGTAATTTAACTCTTGATAGATCTTTTCCACCACATTGCAAATACAGCTGTGGAGAGGCTGCTAATTTGATCAAGGAAGTGGCTGGGCAATTTTTTAATCCTTCTATCACACTTCTTTTCTTCCCACTCTAAAGAATTTCCCCCCTCACAATCCTGCTGTTTCCGCTGTGGGAAGAATACAAAGATGCCTGTGTCAGTCCTGCATTCCACCCCACCCCCTGCCAATGGCAAACAAGCAACATGGGGGTGATTTAGAATAACCAGCCACATCCATTGCCATGAAAGAGGAAACGCACCACTAAAACAAGAACAGAGAGTATGGGACTTGGCATTGTTGTGCATCTCAAAGTCATTTCCAACTTATGGTGACCCTAAAGTGAACCTATCATGGGGTTTTCTTGGCAAAATTTTTTTCAGAGGAGTTTTGCCACTGGCTTTTTCTATGGCTGCAAGAGTGTGACTTGCCCAAGGTCACCCAGTGGGTTTCCATGGCTGAGCATGGATTCAAACCTTGGTTTCCAGAACCACTGAAACCACTACACCATGTTAGCTCTCAATTACCTTGTGATTTTTTTCTTCTTCTTTAGCCATTGGTGTCTTCTTAACCAGAATTGCTAGCTGCTGCTACACTCTCCACTCTCCAGACTGAGTGGGTATCACATCTTTAATTCTTTCAGTGCTGATGATTCCTTGCCCCATCATGAGACGATGCTAAATTTCTTTTTTTTAAAAAAAAACCTGATAAATTTCAAACATCTGCAATTAATGAGGATGGCTGCTGGCTTAGTTTCTCTTAGACTGAGGTGGTTCCATTTGCAGGATGATGGAAAGATTCCCACATGTTTTGCACAATGCCCAGAGTTATTCTTAGCAGCATTTCCTTCCCATTTTAATTGAGCTGAACATCATATCCCTTAGATATCAATTTATAGTGGTCCTGAGCCCAGAAAAAATCCATCATATCCCTAGTCAGGTTATTACCCCAACTGCTAATTGTTAAACAGCTTGTGCATAGTATGCATTTGTTTATTTTGGCTCCTCTCCACTACATCTAGTTATATTTTTGTCAGCTAAACTGAAGAAACATCTGCTATCAGACATCTTTCCATGAGGGGGATTCATAGCAATTTATTAAACCACCCTGTTAGTGTTCTTTGGGGAAAAACAAAATAGATATGTATTTTCTATCTGTCACTATAGGGGTGATTTTCTACAGCACAAAACATTATTTTGGCTTTTTGTAGAACCTCTAAAATTGTCAAATAATTTAATTTTATGAATATGCATGTAAGTAATTACAAAAATGTGTTGCCTTTTATTTTTTATGATGGAAAATAGTATAGGCTACTGATAGAGGAAGAATTGCCACCACTCAAGAGGAAATGGACTATGTTGAATACTCTAGCCTATATTCCTTTAACTACTAGGTAAAAGTATCCATTTAGCCTTAACTGACTGTTTTTGCCTAGTTTGCAATCTAATTTTAATCTCCAATTCTTCTGGATATGCCGTCTTTCTTGGTGCTTCTGCTCCCAGCAAGTACAGGCGCCAAGTATGCTTCAAATAAAGACAGTGGTTAATTCTGTGGGTGACTGACTGGCAATTGTTGGTTCAGCCAAATGGAGAGAACCAGTTGCTTTTGCCCATTGTCTGGTCACATCTTGAGCTGATTCTGCCAGTTTGTAGGATGTCAGTCCACTTATACATAACGTGGCTTCAATCTCTATCCAGGAAAATTGTAGGACTTTTCTGTCTCTCTCCCACCCCCTGATCCCCATGAGCATCTAGCTGAAGAGTGTTGGAGGTCTCAAAAGATTCCACTTCTATGGACCTTATCAAACACTGCCCACGAAGCGAAGGGTAAGCGAA